CACTATGCGACCCATAGATCTACTACTAGTAAAACGTTTTCAAAATCTCGTTGTGTCTGACGCCGTCCTTCGTACGTACGCACGGGTCGGAGGTGAACACCTTAGTCAATGAGACATAATCTCTCTAATCCCTATTTAAACAGGAGGAAACAAAAATTCTGGCCGGCGAACACGCCGACGCTTTAGTCATCAATAATTAAGGATCACGCGCGCCTAAAAAATCAGCGCGCCCACACACTCTTTATCCTAGTCAACCATCCTGTCAACGTAATCACAGACACCGCCGCGCCTAGCGCGGCATACTTAAACTTTAAACTTAAACTATTTTCTGTCACCTGCAAAAACCAGGGCGGATACCCTTGTAAGGGTATTCGCACCGACAGCGGCCCCTTCATCGTCAGCTGGCCCGATCGGTAAGAATTTTTTTTTTTTTTTTTTTTATATATATATATACAGCGCGTACCATCGCGCGAACTTTGGAGATAGGAGAAGAAGGCGATAAAGAAAAGGAGAAGGAGAGAACAGGGGAAAGGTAGACGGGGGTGATCAGAGGAAGCGATCTATGTCGGGATTGAGAGGGGGCGGAATAGGCGGAAGAAAAGCGGCCATTGCCGCGGAAGTCGTCGGCGCATCTTCCTCATGGAAGTGGTGCTGCACGAACGAGGGATAGAGGAAAGCCCCCGACACATGAGACAAGACACGGGGCGTCAGATGCGCCACCGCTCGCACCACCCGTTCGCGCACCGATCGGGGCCCCGGACCCGTCATCACCACATGAGTCTCGGTGTAAGGCCGTCGCTCTCGCTTCTGCGCCGCGAAGACAAGGAAGTGGTACATCGCATTGGGACGCTGTACGGTCTCGTAGATGAGCGTCCCAGCCAATCGCGCCGCAATACACCCTTGAAAAGGGGGTGTCAGATATGGCTCCCAGGCCGGATCAGGGCGCGGCGCCCCCGCGATGGCCTCGAGCCTGATGGTGGCGGGCTCCACCATGAAGTTCACCTCTGTCGGATGGACCGTCCGGCTCGGAGGAACTACTAATGTCAATGACCGGGGCACCCCGGGGTGGCTGGCGGGAACGGAGAAGTCCCGCGAGGACGGGGGGTCTGGATATGGGATCCGGAAATCCCATTCGGCTTCCTCCTCCGGCTGCTGCTGCTGATGATGGCCCGGCTCCATCAAGATTGAGATCGCGCACACGCGGAAAGGGCGGCGATGGCACGACTATCTCCTTAACGAGCGTCACCGCACGCGCTGGCTGAATCACTTCCTCGCCGCCGCCGATCCTGCTGCCTTGCGCTCCTGGCGACGGGTGGCGTCTGTTCCTCTTCGGCGTCCTCTTAGGGGCCTTTGGTGGCGCTGGTCGAGGATACGACGAGGGAGGCCGCAACGGCCTTTCCTCCAACCACTCCGCCCACTGCGCAATGAAATCCGGGATGACGACCGCGTTGTACGTCCTCCGCGGGGCCGTCGTCGTCCGCAATCGTGGTTGGATCTCCTCCTCCTCGCTCTCGATCACTTGCACAATGGAGAGGAGCTCAAGATGTATGAGCTCCAACAATCCCGGATCGATCGTCTGGAGCTGGGCGAAGGGGTGCGGCGCCACCGTCCCTTCCTTCTCCGCTGGCTTGGGCCGTGTGATGACGTAGTAGACGACGAAGTGCTCCCCGATGCAGTGGTCTTCGTGATCCACGAAGAACCGGAACATCCCCAGCGCCACCGACTTGTACAGCGCACGGTGCAACTCCCACGCTTCTTCATCGGCGAAGGGCAGCGGCTCCACGTCAGTTAGCTCCACCAAATACTTCGAGAACTCGCGCATGGGATATGGACCCTCCGTGAGCTGGTAGGGGAGAGTGGTGTAGGAGAAGAAGGGAGGCATTTAGTACGGGACAGGGGAGTAGCTTGGAAGTTGAGAGGAGCAGCGGGAGGGAGAAGCGTGCGGAGCTGCGGCACCAACGCAATCGGTCCGTCCTATGCCCTACGCAGCAGCACTTCGTGGGCGGTGAATCGGTGTCCCCCCCGTCCTTGCAATCTGGCCACTGATCTGGTCGCTTCCACCGCGTATTCGCGCACAAAGCTGCGCGCCGGCTCCCGATTCGACTGCGGTAGGATCGTCAAGTCTCCCATGAAGGTGGCCACGCTGTGCACGAAGTTGGGTGCCACCTGGAGCGCGCGGAACTCAATGAATACTCAGGTCGTCTCCCAGCCAGGCAATTGCGTTACATCCACATACACCCCCGCATACGTCAGCCGATCGCAAAGCAACGAGTACGCCGCCAAATTAGCAACCCCGGGCGTTGGCACGTTCACCTGCTGGATGTCGTACCGCAACTGCCTTTCCTCATTGAACCGATGCCACAACAAGCGATCTGCAAGCAGCGTCTGGAAGTGCTCGAGGGGCTCATGCTCCAGTTGGCGATGGTTCATCCTGCTCCCTGAAACTCTCAGCACCAATGGACGAGGCAGATCGGGAAGAGGAGGAGGATGAAGAAGGAGAGGGTGATCTCGCAAGAGCGGGGGTCCGTAGGGGACCTAGCGATGGCTGGAAGGGCCGCAGCGTAGCAACGTGCCGTGTCAGCGGTCGGGCCTGGGAGTTGTGACGGGGAATCAGCTTCACGGAGTGCTGTCCCTGTGCGCCAACTTCCGTGACCTCGTAAATGCCTGTGTAGCGTGGGTGGATCTTGGAGGAGCGCGCAGATTTTCGTACCTGCACCAAGTCCCCAACTTTATAGCGGGGCAGTGGTCCGCGTGTCGATTCTCGTAGTCACGGATCTGCCGTTGATGTGTCCGATCTACGGCCTGCTGTCGACGACGAGCTAACGGGGGATAGGCTCTAGCCATTAAGTCCATGTAGTGGCGGGCCTTATCTCGGTTATGGGCCCGTGTTGCGCTAACTTCCGTACCTACTAAGGGGGACAATTGCACCCGAGGGACACTATTGGTTCACAGTTGAAAGGGGGACACCCCAGTACTACTGTGTGGGGTAGCCCGATAAACGACCAAGATGTGGTCGACAATGACCGGCCAGGGCCGGGTATCTCCCGCAGTAATATTCCGTCTAAGGGCGGTCTTAATCAGTCGGTTGGCATTCTCTACCAGGCCATTGGCTTGAGGCCAATGACCCGACGAGTAGATAATCTTAACGTCCGCCCTGACTAAGTGACGTTCTACTTCGCCTTGAAATTCCGACCCATTGTCCATCTGTACCTCTTATACGTCTAGATGCATGCACAAAAATCGATTTACGTACCAGGCTACCTCCTGCGAATTCCGGCTGGTCATAGGGTACGCCTCGATCCATTTTGAAAAATGATCGACGGCTACTAAAAGAACATTGAGTTCTCCCTGATCGACGGGACCTCTCGGAACGTTGATATCCGTCGTATCGATGCTAACCCTCTGAAAGGGGCGCTCTACACGAGTAGCCACCATCGTCCGAGGCATCTGTACCGGCGCCTTATCCGCTGCGCAGGACGGGCAATTTTGAACGATGTATTTCACATCTTCCCGAATTCCCGACCAGTACCATCCGTTCTTTTCTATGGCTTTTTCCGTGTACTTGACCGCGAAATGGACCGCATCCTCTTCATGAGCGGCTCGTGTCCAATCGAACCCAGCGAGAGGGTGTGGAACCGTTAACCAGCTAGACCCTCCGTCATCATCGACTTTTCGTTTTTGTAACGTCGGTCCTTGCCAACAATAGTCCTGCACCTGCTCCGTGACTCTCCGCCTCTCAGCTTTAGTAAGTTCTGACTGCGAGTCGCCTGACAGCCTCCGTAGCAACAGAAGGTCCTTCCAGGCTTTTGCCCGGCGGGCACTTGGCGCAAATCCGTCGGCTGTTCTGGCGTCCAGATACCGCTTCTCGATAGGGACTTGGTCCGTTCTACAGTTGGGACAGACCCATGTCTTTTCACTTCGGTACCTAACGCACTGTCCGTGAGATTTGACCGTATGACACCGACTACACTGTACCCATAAAAGAAAATTGGGCCCTCCCTCATGTGACCCTTCTTGGTCCGGGACCATAGGCAAAGTACAAAAGAAATAGGGACTTAGATGCGTTTCAGGGGACGAGTAGGGACTAGACGAGAGAGCGAGGGAGTTGGATGAGGGCAAAGAGATCGCGTCTGCCATCTCCGGCGAAACCTCCATTCCGGACTCATGCGTCGTTCTTGCGCAGCACGTGTAGCTCCCCGTGGTGCGGTTTCGTTGCCGTGACTTCTGGCCTCCACGGAATGAGTCGCTCATTGGCGGGACACTTGTTGGGCGGCAGGAGGCGCGTCAATCCATCGGCGTTACCATGTTGCCGTGTGGCACGGTGGCGGATGTCGAAGTCATAGTCTTGCAGACGCATCGCCCACCTGCCCAGCGTCCCCGTGTAGTCTGTGTTGTTGTGTAGGGACAGCAGCGGCTTATGATCCGTTACCAGCACAAATTTTTGGTCGTAAAGATACAGTCGGAAATGTTGGATCCCCCACACCACCGCCAGACATTCACCTTTGCACGCTTCGTAATTAGCCTGCGCCTGGCTCAACGTCTTGGACGCATACTCAATGATGTGCTCCCTTCCGTCCTTCCCGTGCTGAGTCAGCACCGCCGATATCGCCTGAGGTTGCCGGTCTGTGTACAATGCGAACGGTCTTGTTGGGTCGGGGCGCGCCAACACAGGAGCAGATGTCAGAGCCTCCTTCAACGCCTGAAACACTGCTTCGCATTCCGGCGTCCAGATCAGCTGTTCCTCTTTCTTCAGCAGGTTCGTGAGGGGCTTCGCTATACCGGCGAACCCCTTGATGAAGCGTCGGTAATAGGATGCCAGCCCTAGAAAAGCCCGAACCTGGGTGAGTGTGACCGGCGCCGGGGCTTCTTGAACTGCTGCCACCTTCCTCGGATCCGGTTTTAGTCCATCGACCGTGACGATGTATCCCAAGAATGAGATCTCCGACAAGAAGAACTCGTTTTTCTCCAAGGCCACTTTGAACCCCACATCTTTTAGTGCATGCAAAACCCACTCAATGTGTTCCAAGTGGTACTCGCGTGTTTTTGAAAAGACCAAAATATCATCCATGTATACAATCACGCAGAAATTGATCAGAGGCTGGTCAGTCGGGTTTTGTTAACGAACTCGGCGAAGGCCATATTCATGGCCCGCTGAAACGTTGCACGGGCGTTACAAATTCCCATGGGACACCGGACCCATTGCCACGTGCCTTCAAATAGGACAAAAGCGGTTTTGGGACGGTCCTCCGGTCGGACTGCGACATGGTGAAAACCGTGTCGGATATCGAACTTGGAAAAGACTCGAGCGGCCCCGATAGTATCTAACAAATCGTCGATTCGCGGCAAGGGATACACATCTTTGGTAGTGATAGCGTTCAATTTTCGGTAGTCGATACACACCCGGACCGAACCATTTCGTTTTGGCACGAGGACCACGGGAAAAGACCACGGTCCCAGCGATAGTTCGACCCACCGCAACCGCTCAAATTCCCGTACCCTTTCCAACGCCAGCTGTCTTTCTTTAAGGGAATATCGGTACGGTCGACAATGTATCGGGGCGTGATCCCCGGTATCAATTGCGTGCTGTATCAAAGGGGTTAGCCCTATGTCGTGGTCCTGAATACTGACGGCCTCATGATAGGCCCGTATAACTGCCAGGAGGAGCCGTCGGTATTCATCCAGAACACGGGCTGGTAACTGAACTTCTACGGTTTCCCCCAGGAAGGGAGACCGTCATCGTAACCGCGGGGACCGCCGCGTTGCCATCGGGCGAGGCCCCAAACAAAGAGTTGTCGGTTTTCGCCGAAAGGACAGTCGCAATAAGTTGACTGTCCGCCGGGCTCATCAACTCGCTTTCCATGTCACTGTCACTATCCAGTTCGGGTTCGGCCGAGGGTTCTATCGAAAAGGCCTGCGTCAGTTCCCTCGGTCCCCACCGATATTCCCTTGTTCGGGGTTGAAACGACACTCCCTTTTTCAAAAGTATCGCGGCTTTTTCATTCGTGAGTTGGGGGCATGGAGGTCGAAAAAATAAATCGCACAGCCCCCTCAGCTCGGTAAATCTTTCAGGTAGGGGGTTCGTCCTGAGATATAAGGACGCAGGGGGTTCCGAAAGGTCTGCTATTCGGGATACCCTCAGCAGGGGTTCCCCCTGCACCACGCAAGAAAACGCGTGCGACCGGTTGGACTCGCTCCGAACTATTTCCAGTGGTTCTCGCCGCCAAGAATGGCGCCACCGATCCTGAACTCGGATCGGATACCGGTCGGGTGCATCAGCCTCGTCAGTTTCCGTCGATGGTTCATTTTCACTTGGTGACAGGCATCGGATCATGTTGATTTGATGGGCTTTCGTGGTGAGTCGAGGCGCCGGCTGGGTGCGCATGCGCACCGCCAGTCTCATTGGTATCGTTTGGGGTTTGGGGTGGGCCGATGTGAGCAACACCTTACAACTGTCAAAGTGTATTCGCGCTCCAACCGCCGCCTGCTACGGAATGCCTAGCATAACATTATACGCCTGTACATCCAGCACGATCACGTTGCACAAACAATGCACCCGCCCCACCCGTATAGGCACGTTCGTTATTCGCCCTTTACAATGAATACTATCTTCCGTAGCGGATATATATAGTTCATCCGGTCGGAGGGGCCGAACCTGTCCTTCCCTTCCCAACTGTTTCGTCAATCTCCAAGAAATGGCGACCGCCGACGATCCCGAGTCTAGGATGGCGGCCGAGGGATTTCCCAAGACCTCGCAGTCACACTCAACGCTTTTCCAGGTTATAGGATAGGCTCGGAGGAATACCTCGGGTTTTTACGAGGCAGAGTCTACGGTCTGGATCATTCCTATCCGGTCGGCTTCGTGCACCTTTGAGGTCGAGGGCTGCGACTCCTCGTTTGTGGGTAGGTCCCGTAGGACCGACTTTTTGCCCTTTCGACTTTCCTCGAATCGACGCCTGTTTTTGAGGCACCGTTCGATCAACTTTCCGTTAGCCGCTTTGGAAATGGTTAACAGATAGGGAATAGGGACGGAGATCCGAAGATCCAGAGCCTTAAAGGCATCCA